CCACTCCTTCAACACTTTGCTTGGAAATAACTTCAGCTAAATATCCGATTAAAAAAAACACAAGTTCTTCAGTAGAGCTAGAAGATGAGCACAGTTCAGCCAAGTTCTTAGAAAAAAAAGAACAAGGATTGCCTTTCCCTCACCGTCTAATAACACGTGCCTGATCTCTGTCAAAAAAAACCCGAATGGCCTTTACCCTCCATATTTCTACGAACATTCTGTTTAGGATTAACAAAAAAAATCTTGAAGAAGACTCAGGCTTTCTATACAGTCTCCTTTTTTCTTAATTGCTTGAAAAAAAAATCACCCTAAATAATCTCTTTATGGTAATAGCCTTTTTCTCTCATGCACCTCAAAAAAAAACCAGCTTCTACCTAATACCCAGTTTCAAATCCACTTTCACATTTTTAGTTATTAAAAAAAACAGCCTCCCCCTCCAAGTACCAATTTTTATGTTAGTTTGTTAGGGCTGCTGTAAAAAAAAACCATACACTAGGTGGCTTATAAATAGCAGGAATTTATTTCTCTCAGTTCTGGAAAAAAAAAAGTCTAAGATCAAGGTGCCAGCAGATTCAGTGTCTGGCTGGGGCCCTTTCCTGAAAAAAAAACAGCCATTTTTCTTTTCTTTTCTTTTCTTTTCTTTTCTTTTCTTTCTTTTCTAAAAAAAATTTTCTTCTCTTTTCTTTTCTTTCTTTTCTTTTCTTTTCTTTTCTTTTTTTTTAAAAAAAATTTTTTCCCCAAGTGGGTGTGTAGTTTTTTCTTTAATTTTTTTTAAAGATTTTAAAAAAAAATTCTTATTATTATTTCTCAGAGAGAAAGAGAACACAAGCAAGGGGGAGTGGCAAAAAAAAGGAGAAGCAGACTCCCTGCTGAGCAGGGAGCCCGATGTGGGACTCAATCCCAGGATCCTGAGATCATGACCTGAGCCAAAGGCAGATGCTTAACTGACTGAGCCACCTAGGTGTCCCCATAGACAACCGTTTTTCACTGTGTCTTCACTTGGCAGAGGGAGCTCTCTGGGCCCTCAAAAAAAAGGCACTAATCCTATTCATGAGGGCTTCACCCTGCTGACCTAATTGCCTCCCAAAGGCCTTACCTTCAAATACCATCACAACTGGGGATTAGGTATCAACATATGAATTTGAGGGAACACAAACACTCAGTTTCTGGGATCATTTAAGATATATTGCAGGTTCTAGGGCTTAGGACAAAAAAAAATCTTTTTCAGGGCCCCTATTCAGCCCACAACAACTGCTTTTACCCACTCAAAAAAAAAAATTAGAAATCAGGAATTGTTTGGTGTGGGATATCCATTTCCATTTCTTTATAAAAAAAAAAAGACTTCTATTATTTTTTTTAATTTGCCCATTATAAAAACATCTTAGTTAGTTTGACCTTTATTATCAATTAGTATTCTCAGAGTCCTTTTAACTACAGCAGTAGTTCACATCTAAAAAAAAATTTTGTGTTACTGACATTTTGTGGGCTATCCACTATTGATACGTCTCTTGTCTAGTTGTCGAAGTAAATCAGTCTATAGGATTTAAAATGTGGTCCATCTGGAAGAATAAAATAAAAAAAAAGGATTAGATTCCAATTTTAATTCAATTACCTGTTGGAAAAGAGAAGATTTGGTTCATTTTAATTCCTGTTACAAAATCGGGTGAGTTGTCATCTAAACTTAAACATTGTATATTAATTTGACACTACTGTATCTTTTTGTATGAGAAAAAGGAAGTAGAAGGCATAAAGACTAGTAAAAAAAACTTTAAGGAACATAGTAATTCCTTTAGGTGAAAACATAGGTAGGATGTGAAGAACAAGTCATGCTTTATCTGTAGGCTATCTAGATTAATTTATAGCCAAGTCAATAGTCTCTAACATCCATTGATTTAATTTGGGATTTAATTTGCTGAGTACATTATTTCTGGACTATCTTTTAAAACATAAACTTCTGCATGGCTTAGACTATTGATAAGGGTTCATAAAATTGATTCATTCTAAAAAAAATTTGGGTAGTTGATGAAATAATTATTCACAAAGTATATAAAGGAAATTCTGATATTCTGTACAACTAAGTGAGAAAAGACCTTAAATATAACACTAGAGTCTCACCATTGATCAAAAAAAAAGGTTTTATTATTTCTTTGTCCTACATCTTCCTCTCCTTAGATTAATCAACCCAAAAAAAAATCTAGAAGATAAGGCAAGGTTTGGGGCTTTAGCACATCCCACCATGTAAGTTTAAAAAAAACACTTGAAATAGATAAATGTTTTTAGTAGTCATTAAGTCACCCTTTTGTCAATGACAATGATATATTGTAGTCTATATACTCAAAAAAATTATAGACAGCGTAGATATAAATAAGCTGAAATAATGAATTTCTAAAGATTTTAAGGGATAGTTGAGGTTTAGAATTACAAAGAACAAATATTTGAATTCCAGTGGAAAATACAGGCAAAGATATGTGCAAGAATTGAAATTTGGAAAAAAAAAATTGGAAATAAAACTGAAGGAGTATATTTATAAGCAGAAAGAGCAGGCTCTAATGTGCTGTGTTAAAGTGGCATCAGTAACAATGGGCCTAACAAAAATACTAGTCACGGTACTAATTTAATCACTTACTGGACTTTACACCTTGGAAAAAAATCACTTTGCACCTCTGTTCCTTTATGCCCTCATCTCAATATGATTAAAAACATCACTTCCTCTTCATTCATAGGATTATGATAATTAATTGAATCTTTGGAAAAAAGCGTTTTTTTTGTGCATCCTGTTGTAAGTAAAAGTTATCAAAAAAAAAGTGGCATATATGCAAACTGCCAAGAAACCAAATTAGCTGAGAGCATAGTCCAAAAAAAAACTGTAGTAACTAACACAGCTTTTGTAGGGACAAATAAACTTTATGCCTCCTTGGACTTTAGGAAGCAATCTCCAAAATAGTTGCTTTCCCAAATTAAAGGAAAATTTTCCCATAAAAAAAAAGATTGTTGATCTTTTACTGTTTTTTTTTTTTTCTTAGTAGGACACACAATTCTAAAAAAAATCTTTTCATTTTTAAACCTAGAGACCAATATATGGATCATATGAATATATTTGAAAAAAAATATATTAAAATATGATAGTTTAATAGATGTAGAGAAAGGGATGTAAAATAGATAAAAAAAACTACCAAGCAGGAAGTTATAATTTCTTGGATTTTTGGCCAATTTATTGAAAAAAGCCATGGGTATGGGTTGGTCTTTCTGTAAGAAAATAGGCTAGTCAGGTTAAACCTTTCTAAAAAAAAATTGTAGAAATGTTGGAGAGCATTTAGAATGTGGACTTGTAAAGATCTCTTGTTAAAAAAAATATGCTGACCTCCATAAAGCATGATGATAATTAAGTATAGACTGAAAGGTCAGAGCCCAATTTTCAGAAATGCCTCAGGCTTTCCTCTGAGGCTTTGCCCTGAACTCAGGGCATCTCTGTCTGCTAGAGGAAACTGACAGAAAATGTATTTCTTCAAAATATATAAAGGGTTTTCAAAAAAAAGATGGGCTGGTTATGTGTAGTAGGATGGGGCTGCCATCCCTGATTTACCCAGCTTAAAAAAATTACGAAGGCTCCCAAGACTCCTGGTAAGACCAGAACAGATGTTTCTTCTCTAAAAAAAAACCCCAGACCTAGGTCACCTCTTTAGCATAAACTCTTTATTCTGAGCACAATTTAAAACTTTAATTTCAGAGGCGCCTGGGTGGCTCAGTTGGTTAAGTGTCTGAATCTTGGTTTCAGCTCAGGTCATGATCTCAGGGTCCTGGGATCGAGCCCCATGTGTGGGGCTCCACGCTTAGCAAGGAGTCTGCCTGAGATTCTCTCCCTCTCCCTTTACCCCCTCCCCGCACTCGGGTTCAAAAAAAATCTAAATGAATAAATCTTCTTTAAAAACTTAAATTTCAGCCTTATCTATTTCTAAAAAAAAATTCATGACTTTATAATTCCCAGACTAATCATTCTAGTCCCTACTCATAGTTTCTTACTGACTTGGCAACTAGATCACAGGCTTTCCTCATCTTCTCATACAAATCTCATTTAGAAAAAAAAGCCTTTTTCAACACTTTAGGATACATGGCCCTACATGCAAAGTAGGCAACTGGAAAAAAAATTCAGAATTGACTTTTTCTCAGCTTTAATCTAGGCAAAGGAATGTCCAACCTAAACAAAATAAACTCTAAGTACTAGCTTCTATGTATTCAGCACAAGATTTAAGTTGAAATGAAAAAAAAAGATGTATTAGGAATATCTGTCACCCAGATCTGATTAGGAAGTTTTAATTCTAAATCAGAAGATCCCTAAAATGCTTTTAGTCCTTTTCATGACCAGTCTGTCTCATTGTGAGACATATATATTATTGATAATATTTCTTTTTTTTAATATGTTAAGTTAGCCACCATACGGTACATCATTAGTTTTTGATGTAGTGTTCAGTGACTCATTAGTTGCGTATAACACCCAGTGCTCATTACAAACCTTGCCCTCCTTAATACCTGTCACCCTGTTACCCCACCCCCACTCCCCTCCCTTCTGAAACCCTCGGTTTGTTTGATAATATTCTAATAATTATCTTTTAAACTTTCTGTTTCCATTGTCAATGGATAGTTTCTTTAACTGAATTTTAGAGCAAATTATTTAAATGAGTATAGGAAATTATTTGAGGGACACCTAATGAATGCCAATAAATTTTCTTCTCGTAATGGTAGATATGCAAAAAAAAATTATTTATTTTTTTAAAAAACCTATTTCTTAATTTTATACTTATAATTTTTTTAAAAAAAATATACGTTTGATCATTTTGTTCATACATTAGCAGTTCTATCAATGGATTGACAAAAAAAAATTGCTAATTATTAATACATGGTCACAATATCCTGGGATAAATTAAAGCTCTGAAAAAAAAAATGGAACTCAATTATACATGTAACCTTTGTTTTTCTCATTTCTTTAGATAATCAAAAAAAAGCTCTACCTCTCTCCTTTTGCATTGCCTTCCCATATCACTTCAAGGAACAGTGAAAAAAAATAAAATTCCACCGATAATCCAAAAATACCTGTTCAAGTTGGCATCTATCAACAGGTAAAATAACACTTTTAATTCCTGCTTTTCTTGATTATTTCCATAAATAGAAGGAAAGACACAACACGTATAAGTTGTGGAAAATATTACAGAGTTGTGCATAGGAAGATAACATGAGACCAAAAAAAATGTATGAATTGGATCTTGACTACTGATCAACCCAAGAGTTGTTTAATAAGGAACAGGTGGTAATCTTAGAAATGGAATTTTTCAAGGTTAATTGGTTAAGGTCCACTCTGTAATAAAAAAAATAAGAGATCATAAAATATCAATTTATATGGAAAAAACTAAACAGCTAGGAGATAAAAAAAAGAAGAGGCATGAATAGTGACTCTCAACCTGGAGTATGCATTTATAAATCAAGTCAATATGCTGGAAACAGATACAAAAGATTACATACAGAAATAAACTGGTGAAAAAAACAACAAAAAAAAAAAGGAGGATTAAGGAGAAAAAACTGAAAGCCCTTCAGTTATCTATGAGCATAAAAAAAAATCTATACAATAGAAATCGCAACATCAACCTAGCTCATTAGTAAATTTCAGTATTCATATTCATAACGTGATTTGAATATTAGTAAATTTCAATATTCATATTGATATATTTAAATAATATATTTAAGATTATTTAGAAAATAATTTTTGAAGTGGCTGAGAAGAAAATCATCCAGAAAAAAAACTAAGTGTTTATAATAGCAGATGTGATAAAAGCCTCAGTAGTTTAAACTCATGAATTAATAATGAAAGACAGATTCTTTTATGCAAACAGGAAAATTGCAGAGAACTTCTCTACCTATTTTAAATTTCATTTTTATCATTTTTCCTCTATGAATTTCTGAAAGCCAAGTCCTTTAGTATAACTATGGACAAATTAGAAAAGTTTAATGTAGAGAATATTTTCATTCAAAATCTAAAAAAAAAAAATAGAAGATCACTGAAAATATCCTTGATATAATTTGACAGTAAACAAAAATTAAACCTGTCTTTGTTTTCATAGATATCTGTTTAGTTTTTTGGTGGGTTTTCTGAAAATGTGGCGAATTTAGTTTTTATTAACTTATTTCCCACATTATCAATAGAAAATTGTTTCTTTTTCTTAAAAAAAACAATTGAAACATATTCACAAATAAAATGAGAGTAGTAAGAAGATATTGAAAAAAAAAAAAAGTTACAGCTAAAAGCTAAGTGAACAGCATTACTCCACAAAGAAACATTGATTTTAGGGAACCAAGATGTTTTTAATTTAATTTCAGTTGTGTGAAGCTATATGTGATCATTTCTAAAAAAAAAGAGTGAGTGCTATTATACCATAAAGCTAGCAGCCAAATGTTCCTAGACATATAAAAAAAAAAAGTCCTTTCTTTTAACAAACAATAATGTACCATCTATTTGTTTGGAAGAATTTTATTGCTATGAAAAAATGCATAAAATATATCATTCATGAAATAATAGGTAGCACCATTTAAAAAAAAGCAGTAAAATTAATTCATTAAAACCATATAACTTCTAATGCTACGGGTCCAGAAAATAGGTCCATGCTGAAATATTTTTACATATTCTCAATTATTAAAAGTAGAAAAATTCTGAAATATTTTTAATAATCTAATATTTCTAATAATTAAAAAAATCTACTATTTAATTCTTTAAAAAAAAAAAGATTTAATCCATGGTCCTTTTTAACTTTTGTAAAGAAAATCTTAAATATTTGAAAAAAAAAAGTATTCTGTTTTTAAGTGATGACAGCTCCATTTTTATTATGCTTAGAATTCAAAAAAAAATAGCTTTTATTTTTGGGTTGGTATTTCAGTACAGATCTGAATTCTTTATTTGAGTAGTTTTTGTTTCTATAAACAAATTAAATGCTTCATTTTTTAGCCCAAAACAAAGTTACAAAAAAAATTCCATTTTTTTTTTGGTTAATTTTCTTAGTATAAGAGTATTAAAAAGTATTCATGAGAAATTATATACTTATAACCATAAAATATTATTTTGGTGACTATCAAGAGTAATATCAAAAAAAAGAAATAAGGTTTAAACTGTTATTTCATTTTTTTTTAATAGATTACTTGAATCTAAAAAAAAGGAACAGAAATGCCACCACCAGTAGGCGCCCCCCTACACCCACCTCCTGATGGAGGCTGGGGCTGGGTAGTGGTCGGAGCATCTTTTATCTCCATTGGATTTTCATATGCATTCAAAAAAAATGTCACAGTGTTCTTCAAAGAAATTCAGCAAATATTCAACACTACCTACAGTGAAAAAAAATGGATATCATCCATTATGCTGGCTGTTATGTATGCAGGAGGTAAGGTTTCTGGGAATAAATGGAATTCCAGATTAAGAAAACAATGCTTGCATGCCACAGTGTTTTACATTTAAAAAAAAAATATATTAAAGCTCTGTTTTTGTATTGTAGTCACTTAAAACCAACCAAAAATATAAAAAAAACTGAATTTTTAATAATTTTATTGATTCTGCATCTTGAGATATTCACTTCATTCAAAAAAAAGACTAGAGTATTTGAATGAGGATTTCTTTGAACAAAGTAAGGTTTACTTTATTAAATTATGGAATTTCCAAGGGAGGCACTTTTCCATTTAATCTGGAATAAAGTCTATACCACAGTGTTAGTATCATTTCCTACCATTGTTACAGTTGGTAGAAATGCTTTCATTGTAATGAGAAAAAAAAACCAGTTGCTGACAGTCTATAAGCCTACTAAGTACTTCACCTTCAGCTGCAAAAAAAAAAAATTATCATGTACATTCTGGATCCATTCAAGTTCGTGTGATCAAAATAATTCCTTACCTCTGTAGTACTCATTAAATATGACATTTTAAAAAAAGATTTACTTATTTATTTTGAGAAAAAAAAAGAGAGCAGGGCAGGGGGTAGAAGGAGATAGAAAGGGAGAGAGAATCTCCAGCCGACTCCCCACTGAGTGCAGACCTGATGCAGGGCTCCATCCCACTACCCGAAGATCATAACTAAAAAAAAAGTCAGGAGTTGGATGCTTAACCGACTGAGCCACCCAGGCACCCCTAAATATGACATTTTTAAATGTAAATGGTTGCCTGACAATTATCCTGTTACATTCCATATTCAGTTGAGAAAAAAAATCATGAGGGAGAACAAATCAAAGAACCATATCACTTCTGAATACTTAAAAAATAAAAAAAATAATGCATTATTATGTCACTTATTTTCATTAAATCAATCTCAACAGCAGACCAGATGGCCTCTACATTTTTAAAAGTCATTATGTAAAATATTTAGGTTTTAGAGTTTTCATTTAAAAAAAAGATATTTGACTTTAAGACTTAGACAGGTATAGACTCAGAATATAGGAACTGAAAGAAATTATACAAATCATCTACCACAATTTCTTACCTTACAGTTGAGGATAATATTGCTCATAGTGATAGGGATATACCATTAGCAATAATATCCAATATTTATTAGTATTTACTTTCAGCTAAAAAAAATCTAAATGCTTGCTATGTGTCATATGATTTAATCCTCTTAACAATGCGTGAGAAAAAAAAAATTTTCTCTCCATGCTATAATTGAAGAAATAGAGACATAGAATAGTTTCCCAAAAAAAAAAGCTTATTAGTGACAGGTAGAAATCGAGACTCCAAATATTGAGTCACTGTGCTCAAAAAAAATTCTCATATCTTCCTCTTTACTTCTAGAAAGTGATAGAGCCAGATCTAGGCCAGGCCTTCTACAGACCTGATTCAGATTCTACCCCTTCCAAGGTCATTTGTCGGTGACATAATAATTAATCTACAGGATATTATTTCTTTATGGTAGTACCAAGGTGAAAATGCGATCCTCCAAAAAAAAAATATGTGTGTGTGTGTGTGTGTGTATCTGCGCACACACACGTGTGCATACTGGTATGTGTTTTCTGCTTTCTATATGTCAGTGATTTACATTAATCCAGTATGTCTCCCTTAATGAAAAAAAATTAGGTTAAATGGATGCATTTTTGTTCCACTACTGAAAGGTATCTTTAAAATGCTATTTGAGTGTATCAATGAAAAATTCTGCTTCTAAAGCACTTTCTGAGTATCTCCTTTGGAAAAAAAATTTAAGGATTCTGTGTTATTTCTGATGACTATAGAAACAATAAATACTGTGTAAAAAAAAATGTTCCTCTATTGCAGGGGTTAGGTGTTATTTAATAATGTTTTACTAGAACAAAAAAAAAATCATCTTGTCCTGAGCTCCAAAATATGCTGATGTTAAGATACATAGTCCCCCCAAAAAAAATACAACTGAAACAGATTCCTCTAGTGAATTCATAGAAGTCTACTGAATTTGAACCATACAGTCATAATTTTATGTTGAATAGGTAGTTGACTAACTCATAAGCAAGACAAAAATTTGTATAACTTTTTTGTTAAGTCAAGTCTTAATTGAATTTATTAGTTTAAAGCAAATAACTTCAAAGTCCCAGTGCCTCAAAGGAATATAAGTTTACTTATTGCTCAAGCAGTGTTTCATCTAAAAAAAATGCTATCACATGAGACTTTGTGGTGTTTCCAAAATCTGCTCCACTTGGCTAGAAAAAAAAAATGCAAACAGCATGGAAGATCATGTGGGGTATTTTAAGGGCCAGGCCTGGAAGAAAAAAAAAACATTTCTGACATATTCTACTGGTCAGAATACTTATGCTGCTATACCTAAAGATAGGAGACAGGATTGCTGGAAAATGCAGGCTTCCTAGAGGAAGAAATAGAGTAGGATAGCATCCAGTAAGTCTCAGAGAGAGCTTGGTACCCCAGCAATCATTCTTCATCCAATGAAAGTAAAAAAAAATTATAGACTTGTCATGGTAATATGATAGCCTTCCACTCCCTGGCTGGATCTACAGAAAGGTTTAGAATGAAGAATTATATAATTTCTTTTCTCAAACCATTAAATAAGTAATATGTAAATCCCTATAATATGTATTTATTATTAAATAAATTTGTCAATTTATTCATGTTCTTATAAAAAAAATTTTAATATATATTATACATGTTAAAAAAACACAAAAGACGGGCACCTGGGTGGCTCAGTTGGTTAAGTGTCTGACTCTTGATTTCAGCTCAGGTTATGATGTCAGGGTCAGAAGATGGAGCCTTGCTTTGGACTCCAGGCTCAGCTCAGAGTCTGGTGTCTCTCTCCCACTGCCAAAAAAAACTGTTCTCACTCTCTCTCTCTCTTTCTCTCAAATAAATAAATAAGTAAATAAAAAAAAAAAAATAGAACTCTTTTGAAGCTCATCAAAAGAGTTTGGGGGCACCGGGGTGACTCAAAAAAAAAGGCATCTGACTCTTGATCTCAGCTCAGGTCTTGATCCCAGGGTTGTAGTTCAAGCCCTGTGTTGGGCTCCATGCTGGGCATGGAGCCTATTTAAAAAAAAATAGTAGTTTGGTAAAAAAAATAGTTATCAATTCAGAAAAAAAATACCTTAAAATGTTTAGGGTAATAGATGAAAAAATCTGTCTAAATTAAAGAACATTGAGGATTTTCTGCTTGTCTCAAGAAAACAAATGCTAGACACATAAAGACAGTTATGTAGTAATTGATGATGGTAATATCTGGGTGAGATCCACTAAAAAAAAAAAATATTGCTTAGCATCATTAGTCATCAGAACTGAGACATTTTGTATATCATCTAAAAAAAAGGAGAAAAGTCAGTAATTGTAGAAATTTTGCTACACTGTGGTCTTTCCCTTGAAAGTGGAAAAGCAGTCCACCCATGGCCTGTAGGAAAGAAATGTTATTACCTGCCATATCCAAAAAAAAATGGAGAACTCATTACATTTTACATGGTGTCTTATCTTGATAATCTTATCTTGAAAAAAAAATTTAATCTTTTAGTAAGAAATAATTGGTACATTTAAAATTATATAATCCCATTATGAAAACAGTCCCCCTTATGTGGATGCAGATAATTTTTTTCATAAACATAATAACTATTTAAAAAAAAAAAATCTGATAGTTTCAATTAATCTAAGACACAGATGTTGGTCCTCTTACCAAAAAAAAAATATTTTTTCAAATACTAATACTATATTAGTATAATATATTAGTATAATACTAAAAAAAAAAATTCAAATTTTTTCAATTTTCTTCTTCTGAATCATGTGTGTCTTGTTAAAAATGCATAGTTGCAGGTCTTCTCCCAAACCCCATTTTAGCAGAATTTCTGTTGGTGGAATCCAGAAACTTGCATTTCGGCAAGCATCCCTGAAAAACACTTCATGTACAACATAGGGATTCACTGAAAAAAAAGAAGATCAATAATTGATTTAAAAATATTTAAATTATCCTTTAATATTTGAAAGAAAAAAAATTATGGAGGCCTTTTAGGTTGATGATTATAAAATAAATTCAAAGACCATAAGGTGAAAAGGCATATAGTTTAGTATGAAGTTTAATGAGGCTTGCTACCAAGTAACTGAAATACTCTGTTCAACCTAATGCTAATTATGTTAGCCTAGAGAACATCTAAGATCTGACACCCTCATAAAAAAAAAGCACTCAACCTATTAATCACCACTGTGGGGTCACTGGGAAGATGGAGTGTGTAAAAAAAACTGGCCTGTGATGTCAGGACTGGAGTCTCTTGTAGTAATTAGTTGGCATCTGAAAAAAAAAAGCAAGATATTATCTTCCCTTCTGATGTCTGAATTAAAAATGAAACTAATAAAAAAAAAAAAGGAAGGATGGAAAAGAATGCAAATTATGTTTATCCCTTACTTCATCCTTAGAAAAAAAAAATTAAATTATAGCAACCCATCTGGTCATCCATATGGTCTCCTGCAGTTTTAGCAAATTTCAGCAAATAGGTCAAACACAGTGGTCACTCCATTAATAAAGCACTAAGTAGAGGCAGAAAACATTACAAATTAAACTTTCCACATTGTTTAGATGGATATAGGGATTTATTTTATAAAAAAAAATTACATAGGATTGTCTTTTAGTACAATGTTTGTCTTTGTTACTCTATCGAAAGAAAAAAAAAACCTGCTTAGCTACACAATTACGGAATACAGATTTGGGGCTGCCAATCTCTGTGAGTACCTCATGTTATTTTTCTGGTGATATCTGTTATGACTTGGAAGAATCAGCCGTTCTAAAAAAAAGAGTTGGCTTTGTCTCCATGGTAACATACTCTTCTGTTTTATGTGAGCAATGAAAAAAAAATGTACTAAGGTAAGGGTGATGGTTTGATGATGGAATACTTTACACAGGGGGCCAAGCATCAAACCACTGAGCCTTCTTTTTTACTGGAGGCCAAGAAGC